TCTCTTTCTCCACAGAATAATAGTGAGTATTAAGAAAGGTAGCTCAGCCAGCTAAAAATAAACATTATGAAACTTGGTAATATTTTTTGGATCTGTTTTTACCTCACATATAAACAACAATGTTAAAATACAATGAAAAATATTCTGACTATAAAATGCATTTTAAAGACAGCAGCATCATTTTCCAAATAATTTGCTATTTGTAATAAAATCTTCTGTCACCCAATTTATTCCTAGTAGGGAAATAAGGAGACATAGTCATTAATCTGTGAGTCAAAAGTTGATTTATTGAATTTCTGTTGTAAATAAAAGAACACTAAATATTACATTTGCRAAATAATTGTATTTCTTGCTTAACATTTTAAGTTTACTTTCCTATGATCCACACATATGCCATTTTAAAAATCAAAAGATAATAGTAAACAAATATATCAGGACTATTGCTTTTTATAATTCACAGCACTTTTCTAAAAAACATTTAAAAACATAACCATGGCCAAATTATCACCTATTTAAGACTGCTGAATTGTTTTTTTTTTCACCAATTATATTTAACATACCCTAGAAAGTAATAAAAACAAAATAAACGTTTAAGCTAAAATGTTCAAACCTCAATGATCAATGATTTAGAATTACACTCTGCAGTAGAGTAAGTAATAATTGCTTTAGATAAACACTACTGTTTTATGAGACTGCTCATTTTAATTTAAAATAATGCTATAGGGAATGTAATCTTCGCATGCTTTTTCTTAATTGAGTATGTGAATATAAATACCTAATAATGCAGTTCAAGTAAAAAATAGTTTGGCAAATTTAACAGGTTAAAAAAGTGCACATTTTAAGGGCATGAGATAAATAATTATTGACATTCTTTCATACTGAGATCAAAACCTTGATAAACTTTGTGCTTTAGTCTTTGATGGGTTTCAAGACTCCATTATTAAATTAGAAGATGCTTAACGGAAATATTACTAAAATCATTTTTTTAAATAAAATAAGCACAAATAACCATGTAAATTTTGAGCATGGAAGTTCCTTTGCCTTAGACACGTGACTCAAAACTTAAAGACAAAATGGATGTGATAGGATGAAGTGTGCCAGGGAAGATAAAACCAGGGAGACCAAAGTTCACACATACTTTCCCTATCAGCAATCCTGAGTTAGTGATAAATGGCTTTAAGGAAAATATCCTTCAGGGCATTTACCTTCCTCTAACCAGATGACGGCTTCATTATTATTGGTCAGTGATATAAAATGATAACTTGATTATTATTTATTTCCTTTAAAACTAAGGTGAAGCTGTAAAAATAAAAAGATGGATTTTTATAATATATAAAATAATTTCAAAAACTTTTGGAGCCTCACTGGCCATTTGGTTTTGTTATTCAATTGGATAATTGAATGCATAGTGTCATATCTAGATTAGAGGAAATGCCCAATGCTTGATTGAATAAATGAATAATGAATTAATTAATGACCAGAAAATTATTCCCTCTACCATAATGATTTTTAAAAGGCACAACATTTTTAAGTATCTCTGTTAAAGTTTGTAATTGTATGTAGCATTGTATTTTTCAAAATAARTTCATGCATATAACTATGCTTAATTGTTACAATTAAACCAAAATGTCAAAAGGTCTCATTATTGTTATTATTATTTTTTGCTAATGAGAACACTGAAGTAATGAGAGGCAAAGCAACTTGTTGATGATAACAAATTAATTATGACACAACTAGAATACATGTCTTTTTGCTTATTGCTTCATGACATTTTTTTTTCTATTCATAAACACTTTAGTAACTGGATTTAAATCTATCATATGACTCTCTTGCTTTGTTTTGGTTTTACTGTCCATTCCTTTTATATAATCTTTTCTCTGCCATCTTGATTTTTACTTTCTATTCTAGATTCCTTTATATACTTCTATGTATTATTAGAAATTAGAATGCAATATTTTTTTGTATTTCCTCTACTACAACATCATGAAAGTATACTACTAAGTTGAATTTGAGAATATGGAAGTTTCAGGGGAAAAAATATGAAGGTTTCCACTTCAGGACAGATGGTGGACTAGATGCCCTAGTACAATAGTACAAAGTGAATGAAGTATGCTTTGTGGCAGGTAGGAGATAAAGTCCAGGGCTGGAGCTGGGCTCAAGTGTGTGTGTGTGTGTGTGTGTGTGTGTGTGTGTGTGTAATTCAGGACTCTGCAGAGCCAACGCACTTAGTAGGTAAACAGAAAAATACTTTGCAGAGCAAGACTGTGGATATATTTGCCTGTCTCAGCCTTGCGTCTGGGTGAAACGAACAAGCAAATGTCTCTTCTGTCTATTCCTAATMATGGGGTTACATTCTACCTGACTTAGGGCTAGAATTCACAACACCTGTGTCATGCTTTGCTCCTCCCAAATTCTCAAGCTGAAAATTTCAATCGATCTGAGTTTGATGGTAACATCAGCATTTGGACAAAAGCAATAACACATTTTCTCTGGAGGAATAAACTTTAAAAGCTTGGGTCTTAAAATAAAAATTTCCAGAGATAAAATTCCAAGGAACATGAGCTTGGTAATTAAGCTATCCCAAGTAAGTTAAAGAAAAATAAACTAGAGAATCAAACACACAAAACACCAATGAATTGGCAATATTAGATACAGAATACAAAGTATGTTTGCTTAATACAGTTAAAGAAATGAAAGAGCATTGAGTATATGATGAAAGAACAAGGTATTATGAAATAAAGAACAAAAGAGAATTATCAGACTAGAAAAAATGTAACTATTAAACTTAGTAAAGGCAATYGAATGGAGAACTTAAAGGTTTACAACTGGACTCAAAATCAACCGTGGAGACCCCACAGATGGGGAAGGGACAGATGGATCTAAGGATAGAGCAAACAAATTTGGAATGTCTTGGGGAGAGTGCAGACTGTCACAGACTAAATGTGTGTGTGAGGTGGGCCAGTTGGAGAAGAGTTTGTAGAAGCCCAGAGCTGAGGGTTGCTGGGCATAGTAGGAGGATGGGGCGAGAGAGTTTTGAAGTTCTGCTTTGGCATCTCTCCCACATTCATTGTCTCACTGAACATAGGATCAATCACTGAGTGAACACATCATTAAAATATAGTGAGTGCAATCGGGGGAGGCTGCGACAGAAGGATTTTGAGTTCATGATCAGCCTCAGCAACTTAGTGAGACCCTGTTTCAAAAAATAAAAAGGGCTGGGGATGTGGCTTAGTGGCAAGACAAATACTTGGGTTCAATCCCCAGTAGCAAAATGAAACAAAGCAAAACACACTGAATGTACATTATGGAATACTATGGTGCACTTAACTGCAATAGAGTAAATGTGAATATATTTTTGAAACCACAAGCCTTTATACAAAAGTTGAGAAGGATATTATTTATAGAGAATGTATTTATGTAAGTTAAAAATATGCCCAAGATATTTACAAATATAAAAGTATACACATAAAAAGGTACACACTAAACACTTTAGAATGCTTGTCTGAGATGAGGGAGGTATGATAAAATGGAATAAATAAAGCCAGAAGGGTGTTGCTTAGACCAACTATAATTGYATACCATGAACTAAAGAGTATAAGAAGTATGATTACCCAAACCTGTAAACCTGAGGTTTAAATATAAAAGAAGAAACAAACTCAATATATGGGTTAACGACCAGATTAGATATACTATATGGAAAAGAAACTAGAAATCTAAAGAAATTATCTCAAATGTAAGAGAAGAAAAATGTGGGGAGAAAAGGCTACACAACCTAGAAGACACAGTGAGAAGATGTAGTATAGCATCTGAGAGGGGTGATCAAGAKAGGGTGGCCGAGTAATACTTCCTACATGAAATACCTCCTTCTCATATTCAAGAAGCAGCATGAGGCATGAAAGAGGCTAAGAACATCAAAAGCAAACAGAAGAAGTCCAAGTGGTCATAGTTAAGAGGTGAGCAGTCGAGTAACCGTTAGCCCCTCAAAAACAAGAACAGAAGCCTCAGGAACATGCGACATCTTCAAAGTTCTATGAGGAAATTACTATCAGTTTATGTTTGTGCATCCAGCAACACCAACAACTTTTCAAGAATGAGGACATTTAGCAATCCCACTTCTGGCTGTTCTGAAATCAGTTTGTTGAAGAGAGATCTGTACTCCTATATTCACTGCAGTACTACTGACAATAGCCAAGACAGGGAATCACCCTATGGATTCATCAAAAGACAAACAGATAAAGAGCATATATAGTATTTTATCATGTACAATGAGGTATATGCCCATGATAAAATACTATTCAGCCTTAAAAAAGAAGGAAATCCTGGCATTTGTGAGAACATGGATGAAAGTGAAGAACCTTATGCTAAGTGAAATAAAGCCAGGCATAGAAAGACAAATACCACATGTTCTCAATTATATATAGAATCTAAAATAATCAAACTCACAGAAGCAGAGAACAGAATTGTAGCTACAGAGGCTGAGGGTGGGGAGAATGGGGAGACAATGGTCAAAGGCTGCAAAATCTCAGCCAGTGGGAATACTTTTTCTTTTTGAAATCTATTGCACAGTGTGATATTAGCTAATAAAAGAGTATCTCATATGTTTCAAAATTGCTAAGAGAATACAATTCAAATATTCTTAGTACAAAAAATTGTTGAGTATCTGAGGTAATGGATATGTTATCTGTCTTGATTTAATTATCCTATGTTGTATTCAAAGTCGTAACATCATTTTGTATCCCATAAACTTACACAATTACAAATGGTCATTTTCAAGAAAATAAGAAAAAAGAATAAGGGTGAAAATAAACACATCCTCATCCAAGCAAAACCAAACTTCATGGCATTAGATTTTCAATAAAGAAACATTCAGAGCATGTAATTATAAAAGGAGAAAATAATGTTAGATAATCATGTTTGTTTATTAAGTATAACAAGCATTTTATTTTATTTAAAAATAAATTTCTTATTTAAAAATAGAAAATTTCTGAACTATTGGATTTTATAATTAATGCGGCATGAATTAACTGAGCTTAATTACCTGTATTGACTGTTTATATATTGGTTCATTCTTTAGGTCAAATGTCAACTACTTGGTAATCTGATATTAGAAATCTTTGAATTGATGAGATGATGTTGCATCGTGCCATGAAATTATACTGCATTATAAAATGTTATAATTTAAAAGATTACAAGTAAAAAAGTGAGATGTCAAGAACAAATACTAGTATTTAGTTTCTCTGTTTCTGTAATTAAGAAAAGTTCATTGCAATGTTGGCATAGCCCCTGGAGTTTATACAAAGGCCAAATGCTGCAATCAATGCTGTAATGATTTCAACATTTGTGCCTATAATAAGCCTAATACTAATGTCTAGGGCAATTTCTGAATATAAAATAGGTTTTGTGTTTTCTTATACATTTAATCTTATCAGTATCTAATTTGAACATGAGAGGTCTTACATAACAGGGAATTTTGTTCTACTGAGACATAGTATACAAAGTAATAAAAGAGCATTTATGGATGATTAAATATTGAAGTGAAGTTGAAGCATTTAATCTACTGCAAAACTCATTTAATGCAAACGTACCCTGGCAATATAGATATTATTGATATTACACTTGAAGGGAACATTTTCATCCAGTGTAGCTCATGGAAATTTAATTTCCTTGTTCTCTGAGAATTTGGAATTTGTTAGACTGTGTCCATTTCCAGTACAATTTTTCAGTGGAACATAAAATGTACTCTTACATATTAGCAAATAAGTGATTTAAAAAAAAAAMAMACACACTGCCAAACTGGGTGCTGTGAAGGTAAACTCAATATAACAGGTGAAAATCACAATAAGTAAAAAGTAAAAACAAGCTATTTTGAACTTATCATGAAGTTGATTTTGATGTCCATTTTATGATATCATTCTGTTTTATTTTTTGATAGACTTTGTAATCAAACACAAACTGGACTAATCTCAGATCAAATATAAATTGGTACTTCTTAAATAAACATAGCAATTGCATTTGTAGAAATTAAACAAACAGATAAGCTTAGGATGTTTAGGTTCATTTAGATAGATTTCTTTTTTTTTTTTTTTTTTTTTAGTTTCTCTAAGATTTTGCCCTGTACCTAAATAAAACATCAGATTCTGGATGCTGAACACCAATCATTAAGCGGCTGTGGTCTAGTCCGATAGGCTTTTTGTCAATTATCTCTAAATCAAAATAAGTTACAAATACAATCAACAATAGTTTTATTTCAATAACTGCCAAATATCGACCTGGACATTTGCTGGTACCAAATCCAAACGGCATTATGAAAAACTTCAGTTTTTTGCCTCCTTTGAAAAAGGTGGTTTTCTTCTTACCATCTTCAATAAAACGATCAAATCTAAACTCCTRTAAAGAACAAAACACAATGTCAAAATCAAAATTTTACATGAAATAGTTTGATTTCAGGTCCACAAAATTACTAGCTTTTCCTGCCTCTCTTAAAAGATTTTTTCAAATCAGCAACACCAGAAAGTAAAACTTGATTATGTACAAATCATTCATGAATTTCAAAAACAAAACAAAGCCCAAAACTCATATGCTCCTAGGAAATTACTTCCCCATAGTCAAGTGAAGTCCAAACACCATATGATTTCTCTTCCCTATTCACATTTTCTCCTAATGTCTTAGTCAGTCTTCTGTTGCAATTACAGAATATCTGAGAATAAATAATTTATAAAGAAAAGAGGTTTATTTTTGGTTCATGATTCTGGAGACTGAGAAGTTCAAGAGCATGGTGCTGATGAAGGTCTAGTGCTGCTTCATTTCATGGTGGAAAGCAGAAGGGCAACTGGGCAAATTTGGAAGAGGTAGGCTCACTTTATAATAACCCACTGTTTTTTTAAAAAAATATTTTGTAGTTATAGATGGAAAGAATGCCTTTATTTTATTTGTTTATTTTTATGTGGTGCTAAGGATTGAACCCATGCTCACACATGCTAGGCAAGCACTCTGCCACTGAGCTATAGCCCCAGCCCCAATAACCCAATTTTGAGGTAGCTAGTCCAGTCAGTTCCAAGAAAGRCCTTAATCCCTCTTAAGGATACCTCTTATGATCCCCACTGCCAAGATGGCAGACTTCAACATGACGTTTGTAGGCAGACAAACCATATTTAAGCCATAGCACCTAAACTGAGCTTTGTAAGTGTAGAAGCTATATCTCTATTTTTTTCTCTAAGGTGGGTATTGACATATTGGGTCTTGACATATTGGCCCTTGATATACCAATTTTGGGTAGGAGACAGCTGTAGCACTGTCATTGTTACCATGGAATCAGGAATCCTAGTAGTCACAGAAGCAACATAACTGTGGATCCCTTATTTTCTTTTTCCTTATCCCTTCCTAATCAGCTACTGATGAATGAGAACTATGAGTTTTGGATCCAGTGTTTATATTTCAATTAAATAAATTTAAAATAATAAGATTCAGATAAAGGCTAGAAAGAACCTAAGCCACAAAAATCAATTTTGCTTGTTTTTTGATGTTTAAGGAAATTTCTCCTGTGAAATTTCTACTTCAGTGAAATCTCTTTGGATTAACTCTAGGGTAGCAGACGGTTCTGGTATATTTAATAAATATATTATTTGCTACAGAAAATGATGAGACTGTTTAATCTAGAGTGTTTGGGCTCACCATCTTAATTTTTCCATGCTACCAAAGGGGTATGGTTCAATCCTCACTTGAGTTTTTTAGAGAGGACTGAATGACCTTATTTCAGCCCATGGCGAATTAAACCATTGATTAAATTAAGTCTTGTGGCCTGCATGAAAATGAACATGTAGTTCCTGTAGTTGGTGCTCATTAATATTCGACCTGTTTGGCACACAAGTTTGATATAAACTACATGACATCAAATGCAAAGAAGTAGGTCAAATAAAAGGCATTTTAGATTATGGTGAAAACTCTATAACACATGGATGGATTCTGAGTCCATTACAAAGGATCTTATTTTCTCAGTGTCAGTATGGTTAACATCAGTGAATCATTTCCTTTCATAGTATTGAGTTTACCCTCATCTACCTAGAACAYTTATTTGAGCTAGAAAAATTGGGGGTAGTTTCTAGTCTCCTTCAATTTGCATATGCAGTAATAATGACAAAATCCATCAGAATTTTAATAATTGTTTTATTTCCTGACATGCCAGTTCTGAGATGTATCTAAACCAAAATATCTGTTCATTCCTGAAGGAAGGAACAAGAACAGTCTGTGTTGATATACACTGTTACTGGAGACACTAYTGTATGGAATAAACTCTGCTGGTGAACTTCTAAGGACCAGACATGCTTCCCTGGACTTAGTCCTGGTGCCTCCTGCTGACCAGTTTAAGAAGACTACAACTCTTCCCCAGAGCTCCCCAGGGAAGTGAACTTTGCTATGAAATGATTCATTCAAAACTAACACATAATATGTGTTAATGCAAAAGGAAACCTTAGCATAGGCTATCACTACACAGTGTCCTGATATCACAAATAAACCAAAAGCCATTATGGTTTTTCAGGTTCTTCTTTGTGAAATTTTTCAGCGTGCTGCCCTCTGAGAGGCCACAGTGCCCATGACTTTCAGTGAGTATTCAGAATCAAGTTCCTCTAGCCTCTAGTCAATCATTAATGCCGCTCCTCTAGTTTTCTGTTCCCTTCTATTTTATTTCCTCATAATAAACATCTTAGAAATTTCTATTTTGTTGTTTATTCTGTAAAAATAAAATATAAATGACCAAGGTCTTTTACTCTGTGATTATCATCACCTGGGTATAATAAGTATGTTTCTGAGTTAAAATTTATTTTCAGTTTGTTCCACGACTTACGCATGGAGAACCTAACAGAAACTAATTTTAGAAAGGACTTATGGCGTTTGCTAGGGATACGGTTTGGTTTTTAGCCAAAAGGAGAAAGGATATTATAATCTCACTCCTGAGATTTTGGGGTCATAGTGACAGAAACATGGGGTGAAGAAGCATCAGATGGATCCATTCATTTGGGTCCACTTAATCTTAGGATTCATCATGCTGACTTAAATCCTATGCACCGATCATACAAAGCTCAATACTTCATAATTAAAGAGGGTCAGTTAAAAGATGAGAATCGAGAAATAATTAGAAAAGGTGTAAGACACTGAAATTCCCCATTGCCCCTTTAACAGAGTCCCCAGTATCACTCATACAGAAGTATGAGGTTTATCTAGGCACCAATCTTGGTAATCGMAATTCTCTGGCCTCTGTCTGGTTTGGGACAGGACGTGTGAACCAATCTGGTCAGTGCTATGAGGGAAAAGTCTGTAGGGACATCTAGGAGCATTCTTCTCTTGTAAAAAAAAGAAAACCAGAAAAGAAATGGTTCATTATCCTTTTTCCTCAGGGCCTGGTGATTTGTGAACATGGTGTCTGGAACTGCCATAGCTATCCTGCCACTAGGCAAGGTGAAGCTAACTCTCAGAAGATGGCAGGGTCAAGAAACCCCAGGGCAGTGGAGCTGGGACACTGTCTTATTTATCTCTGTATTTTCAAAGTCTCTAACATCATGTTATTTTCCACTGTCGAGGTTCCACATTTGTTTGTTAAATTAATGAACAAACACAGGAGAGTAAAGTTATATTTCAAAACCAATATTCAAGTTTTTAGAAAAATATGGACATTGAATAAGAAAATCATCATATAGAGAATGAGAAACAGATAAATATTCAGTACTTCCAAGTGGTAGAAATGGTATACTATTGAAACACTTGAAATCAAGATTGAATAGAAGGATCCTATATTCTGAATAGAGGAGAATTTTTGGTATACATGACAGTGGAAGATTGCATAACATCTTAATTTGTGTTTTCCAAATACTGTGTTTAGTTCAGCTCAACAGATTTTTCCTTCCCTCCTTCCTTCCTTCCTTCCTTCCTTCCTTCCTTCCTTCCTTCCTTCCTCCTCCTCCCCCTCCCCCCTCTTTGTTTTTAGCATTTCCTGTATAACAAGCATTGAAGCTACAAAAATTTAAAACTTGGTCCTACTGAGATAGGTCACCCATGATAGGCTCATCTCTTATTTCCAATTTATAAGTTGGGTATAGCAATTGAAATTAGACAAAAGAAATTACTTCTTAGTAATAAACACAACCTGTCAGTGTTTCAAATGGATGACTAAGGGGCCGCTGCTTTGCTGCTTTTAGTTATAGCCCTCATGAGAGGAAAGATAACAAAGTATGGAAGTTTCTTTTTATTTCCATGACTTGGGTTCAAGTCAGCTGCGAGATGCAGTCAGCGGCTGCCAGCTTGTGATAGGTTGGTACACCTTTCCCAAACCTGTGTTTTGGGGTCTTCAAGTTGGTAACATGCAATCTACCATGGATGGTAGTATTTACACCATGAAAATGGACAAATATTACAATCAGAGCCTTTTAACACTTTGATATACAAGGACACAACTGGTTTCAATACTGTAGGTATGAAGTGCCAGTTTACTGGTAATGGAAGAAGCGTTGTCCACACAGAGGATCTGGCTGTGAGAACATGGTTGCATAATAAGGCTCAGCTCCTATACTGTGGACTCTTAGGCAAGGGCCAAGAGGTTACCCTTTATGCCTATCACAGTGCTTTTGAGTAGATGCTCAGTATGTTTGCTTCCTTGAAGTTTACCTATGACATAATCATTATTCCTTGTTGAAATATAGACAAACTTTATTAGAATTATTTCCTCATCTGTCATAACTGGTCTATTCTAAGAACAATAATAATAATAAAAACAATGTGTATACCACCATTCCTATAATGATTTTGAATTTTCTCAAGGGCTTTCAAATTCATTCATCATTTTTTTATGCCTACAACTCTGAGGAGTACATAGAGTAGAACAACACTAGGTTAGACCTGACCTTTCAACTTCAGAACCTTTTAGGGGCATACTCCAAAGTATTTGGAATTCCACTGTCATTTTACCATGTTTCTTTACCTTTGGAGGCAGTGTGCTGATAATAAAGTACTGTTGTCTTAAATACTTGCTGTGTCTTTCTTATAGCCTAATAGTGTCACCGAGCCTTTATCCTTTAGCATTTCTGGGCCTGGAAATATGAATCAACAGATTTGGTCTTTTTCATAGCTCCAGTTCTGGATATCATTGCATTCTGACAGAAAATAATTATTTGATAACCAGTTACGTGAGTTCTGGCTAGTAACAGATGTATATTTAGAATAGCCCTCAGAAGACCTTAAAAAGCTATTCACTCCTAGCTAACTAATGGAGTATCTAGACTTTGTTGGATAGCATGTCCTCTAGAGAGAGAGAGAGACAGAGAGGAAGAGTCAAAAGGGGTGTTATTTTGCTCTCACTCTCATTGTAAATTTCACTTGCCAATTTATTTTCCCACACAGGCAAGAATCACCTGAATGCTTAACATAACAGTAAGCTAAGCAACCAATATTCAGGAAAAGAAGAATTATTAACACAAAAGTTACACGTTGGAAGCTTATAGGCCAAATTAGGTCTCAAAATATTTTTTTCTTATCCCATATTATTTTAGACTTCAATTTTCCAAAGTCATTTTCTTTAAAAGAAAAAAAAAAAAAAGAAGGATCAATATGATGTGCCCAAACTAGATCTAAAGGCTTACAAGAATTGAGGGCTCATTCAGAAGTATCCACTGTTCCCACTGACATACTTTATGGGGTCTCCTCTCACCATAGTTCTTACCACTCTCCAATTGTATTATTATGCTTATGAACCAGTCACTCCCCCCTCCCCCTACCCTCGATTTTGGTACTGAGGATTTAACCCAGGGGCATTCTACCATTGAGCTACATCCCCACACCTTTTGTTTTTTATTTCAAGACAGGCTCTCACTAAATTGTGTAGGGCCTCACTAAGTTGCTGAGGCTGGCCTTGAACTTGCAATCCTTGTGCCTCAGCCTCCTGAGTCGCTGGGGTTACAGGTGTGCATCACTGTGTCCAGCACAAGTCAGTTCTTTATTTGATCTGTGCTTACTCCCAGTGTATATGTAAATGTGCGCTGTCCTGATTTAAAGTTTTAACTGAAGTATACCTTCAGTGCATTTATGTATCCCATCATCCCCTTCATTATTCAGCTGACATGGACGATGTCCTGTGTTGGGGGGGGGACTGAAAGAAGTAACTGCCAAAATACTGCAGTATGCACCATAACAAAGTGGGCACATGCCACAGAGCGGGCAATGGCAAATTCTCTGGAATAATGTAGAAATCAGAAACATCATCAAAGAAGATGTGATTAAGGTTATTCTTGTGGAGTGACCTAAAGCCTGCTGGCGGACAGGGAGGGAGGGACACTTCATGAATAAAGAAATGTGGGTATAAAAGCTCTAAAGTGGGAAGGAAGACCTTGGCCTATTTTGGAAAGCAACATTTTAGAGCCTTTGGGTCTCAGAAATTCTGAAGCCAAGACTAAGTGAGTTGGGAGAAGCTGTGTCTATTAATTCTCTTAGGCCTCTATTTCCTCCAAAGCAGATACACCTGTATTCAGAGTTAGTTTTCCTACTAGTTTTGGCCCAATAGCAATTGTCTGTTTTCTATATCTAAGATCTGGTCATCTCATTAAAAATTTATAGCTTACAAAAGGCTGGTAGCGATGAATATACATCTCTCATGAGCTTGTGGCCCAGTGTTCTCAGTGAGGAATGGCCATGGATAGGGTTTTTCAGAATTTTCTTCTTTACTGTCAGTATGTGTTGTTTTGGGATGCTATATGAAGATCTATAGCATCTTCTTCTTGCTATCTTAAGTTGTTACGAACCAAAGGAATAACTTCAGATGTTCTGATGGTGGTAGGTACTTGGTAAATGTTTGTAGAATGAATGATAAGAACTGGACAATCATATAAAAGTGATTCTTAACTGTATCTTACTTTTTTTTTTCCTGTGCTAAGAATTATCAGCATTTCCAAAATTAATTTCAGGATACTATGGCAAAAATTAGCTAGTTAACTTTAAAATCAGTTAGCATTATTGGCTAATGTTCAATCTAGTAAAGAATAGACACTGCTCCTCAACTCAAGTTACAGCTACTTTAATGATGCTAAGTCAATATTCAAAATATTGCATTTTTGTTCTTGTACTGATTTAGTATGGGCTAAACCCTCATGATTACTATCAAGACTGGGCAGCTTATTATGTAAGATTTGGTCATTGCCACTGTATTCCACAGGAGAAAATTTCTTAAAACACTTTCCTTTTTTTTTTTTTAACTTTGGTTTTTAAATTCCTAAAGTTCTAAATTAAGGTCTTTTTTGTTGTTGTTTTATCACGGGGGTTAAAACTGGTAGAAACTGGGAGTACTATAAAGAATGATGCCAAAAATTTAGTGGTAATCTGGTGAATATTTACTGAGTGTTTGTTGATAATTTTAATGTAGCAAACTTAGTGACTAGAGGAATAATCACAATGTAAAATGAAAGTAGAAGCTAAGTGAAAAACTATAAATAGAAATGAAACTATTTTAATATTTAGAAACAGGGCTGGGGATGTGGCTCAAGTGGTAGGGCGCTCGCCTGGCATGCGTGTGGCCCAGGTTCCATCCTCAGCACCACATACAAACAAAGATGTTGTGTCCACCGAGAACTAAAAAATAAATATTAAAAAAAATTCTCTCTCTCTCTCTCTCTTTCTCTCTTTAAAAAAAATAATATTTAGAAACATTTTTCAGATACTAACTATGTGTTTGTCTTATTTATTAAATATGTACTTGTGAGTGAAATTTTTTCATATTTACAAATGTGGAGATGAAGCTTGTTGTCTACAGAGTATTCATTTACTTGCTAATATTTTATAACCTATTGGCTATCATCATTCATCTAATGCCTCTTTAGAAATGGGTGGAAATGATGCATACATTCCCATACTAAGATATTTGCTATTGCTGATGAAAGAAATGCAGATTATGTTACTGTTATTTGAAATCTGATTTCTTTGTGTTAATTTCTAAAATTCAACAATACTATAATTCAGCCTAGCTGCAAAATATGTAACTTAGAAACTAGGATTTAAAAGTGACCCAGTTATGAAGTGCTCAAAAAGAGCACAGAAGTTCCCCTTTGGAAAAAAATAAAAAAGCATTGTATATACAAAAACAGCTACAGCAACAATTACTTTCATGAAAAGCACAGAAAGAATATGACTGCCTTCAATTTGCATGCAGGTGGTGAATCTCTGAAGTGGTATTAAGGGATGAATCGGGTGGATTAATTTCCAGTCTTTGATATTCATTAACTCCAGCTTCAGAAAAAAAAAATACAAGGAGATGACACAATTACCCTCAGAGCTTCACCAGTGAGCAGCAGCTTTACAATCTCAAGTTCATAATGCCATACTAATTGATCAAGAAGGGGCATATACCTTTAGTGAAAAAGTACATGGGCTTTACTATAACAATGATGGTATTAGTCTTTGGGAGAGTCGACTTTACTTTGCAAATACTTAGCAAAAGAGTCGTCATTATTTATTTGCTTTGCCACCTGTCAAGAGCTAGGTCCTGCATGGTTTTCAGTAATTCTCTACCAAGCAAAACCTAATTTTGGCCTAAAGGTAATAGCAGCCAAGGTACAATATTCCATTTCATTTAAAGCCAATAACATTTAGTCTGATCACACTATTTCCAGTTGTACATCACACAACCTTTCAAAGATGGATCCTTCAAAAACACTTTAGTAAAGAAAAAAACTATCTTATTAGAAAGAAAAACACAAGTCATCAAGCTGTCTCAGATCTCTTCTGGAACAAAGTGGCAAGAGGAAGAGAGATCATGAAGAAGAGAGATGTTCTTGCACTAAGAAGAATCAATGACTGGCTTGATGCTTATTTACCTCTGGAGCTTCAAAGATTTCAGGATCACCATGTAGGACTGGAGGAAAGAGGGCAATCAGGTCTCCCTTTCGAAGGCAGTAGTTGCYGTTCTCTGAACTGAGAGTGAAATCCTCTTGCACAAAACGAATGCTGCTGGAATACGTGTGTAGCCGAAAAACCTCAAGAATGATGCTTTCTGAAGGAAACAAACAGACAAAAGCTTACTGAAACATTGCTGCTTTGAAAGGTGCTTTCACTTAGTAACACTCAATAGCCGTGATTGGAAAAGGAAGGCATTTCTTCAACACATCCATTGAACACCAAGAGGGAGCCAATGGGGGCTGTGGGGTGGGCAAGGGTCAGGAGTGGGGTGGCCTTGCCCCAACATAGCTGAGGAGGACATTTCACAGGTAAGAGGCAGCAGTGCTGTGTTCAGGCAGAAAGAATGTTAAGGGGACACACAGCATACCCTTGGAGAGTTAAATCATATTCTACTTACAATACACTCCTAGTGGGTTATTTGACCAACCTAAAGCCAGGCTAAGCCATTTAATCACCATTTAGGCAGTGAATAGTAAAGTAATTGTAGTAGTACTTTCTGAGACAGTTTAACACTTAATTTCTTTTATGCTAGCTGTAAATAAAATGTGAGTCAGCATTTGCTGGAAAAATTTCAAACAAAAATACTTTAATAAGATTCAGAAGAAAACCATATTTTCCACCATATCCAGGGAGAATAACAGTCAGCATCATCTCCTGGAAGATTCCAGAAGCCGAATGTCCTTGCTTTCCCAGTGGCCTTCACCTTTTGCTCCTAGCACGACAGATTTTATGGCTAATTTCCGGCAATTTATCCTGGCAGTTTGAGGAGGAATTCCTTTGGGAATAATATGCATAATTTGCATAAATCATTCTGATAGCATGCATATCAGCGTGTAGCTCCTGTCTAGGTCTGCATCTCTCCCTTCATAATCAAAACTGACTATGTTTCCACCAGCGTGAATGGGTCTTAGAATATAAAGCTTGATTCTTTCTAATCAGCAATGTGAAAAGAGCTCCAAATGGAGTTTTTTCCCCTTTCACATGATAACAAATGGTTGTGTTTATGACTTGCAATTTAGCAATCACACACACACACACACACTCGAAGGCCAGTTTCGTATTGTTCAGCAAAACTCTGACACACTGAGTATCCAATTATTAGATTATTAAAGGCAGGACCATCAGGGAGGGCTTGCATCTGGCAAAAATAAAAATAAGTGTTATTTCAGTAAAATTTCAATCTATGCACAGCCTGCAAAGGGATATGAAGTAGCTTTGGGTGCCTTCTCCCAGGAGGTTTTTCCTTAAGCATGCATTTGTCTAAAGAAATGAGGCTGCGGTCAGCTCTGTGTGGGCAGTGTGGTGATTCAATGTGACGTACAGTGAGGCTGTGCATATTCTCTTGGACTGCCTTCGTTATTATAATCAGGCAGAGTCAAATCGGTTTGCTGGTGATGAGGCCAGAAAAGAACTTTGGTTTTGGAACATGGACTCTACTGCAGATAGCCACAAGGCACCTGACACGACGGATTTCAGCTGGCAGGACACCAACAACCAACATTTCTATGGTGAAAAGCAAGGGTCGGCTTCCCATGTACTGCTGCTGGCCCTGTTGGACCAACAATAGCGTAGCATCATTTTAGCTTGTGTTGTGAAATGGTAGCTGACATATGTAGCAGTGCTGTTCACCCAACAAGTCCAGTAGGGGTGTGGGAAGAAGAAAAACAAAAGCAAAATAATGGTGGGGTGTCTGCTGTGACAGGGCAGGCATTTAACAGTCCAAATAACATGGTCACATCCGATTGGCCAGTATGCTCTCAGGGAACATGGCAGCTTGCGCCCACTGCAGTATCACAAATGACAATTGGGCAAGCATATCTTATGCAGAAGTTAATCACAATAATGGAGCTCAAAGTGTGGCTCAGCAGTCAGATCGTAAGTGACAAATCTGTTTTACCTTCCAGTACCAGTTATGTGTGCAAGACGAGGTTGGCTCTCGCTCTGAGCGATCATGCCGATAATCATTAGACGACAAAAGTAATGAGTTGCGTTATTATCAGCAATGGAGAGTCAAGCTTACGGGGCTCTGCAGTACAACATACAGACACAAAAGCCAGCAGCTTTTCCACCAGCCCCAGCACAAATGCGGGCAGAGCTATATGTTGAGAAGAATGACAACTGCACAATAAAAAAAATTGCAGCCTCTACTTGTAGTTGTCATAGTTGAGCAGACACCAGCCAGTGCCACTGACAGACCAGCTGGGCCCTGGGAGGACTTCCATGCTACACCAGGAGGTACAGTAAATTATCCTGCACGGTAGAGCAACATCTGTTTCTGTGCTAGTGCCGAACAAACAAGGCAATTTAAAACATACCAAGGGATAACCAAGCAACAAATGAACATGACCCTCATTTTTTCCCCCTTCTCACACACGAGGTGCTAAACTTCATTGTGCAAGCATTCCATGAAAGAGAAGCCAGGTTTTTATTTGATAAGGTGTTGTCAGAGAGATTTTACATATTTCCAAAATGGAAAGAAAAAGCTTATAGTATTGTTATTCTTAGAATCTTCCCCCTTCTATCTTCATTTCTTTTATACCAAAGCTAGCACTCAGTTCTCAATTCGCTCTAGAATTAAAAAAAAAAAAAAACTTTCCATATACTTATAAATATTCAGTCTTTAAACCTAATTTGCTATACTTAGTTCACATGCCTTCAAGCATTTGTCTTCCAATTTCCACTGAATAAATGCGTACTAATGAGAACTAGAGCAAGCTGCTGAGGCAAAGCTGGGTGACTTGGGTCTGGCCTGCCACCAGCTTGTGATAGGCGGGCAAATTGAGTTAAAATGAAAAGTCTTGTCAGCTGAAATTCAACATGGTAGCCAAACAGCAAGCTGTCAATCATCCAGCCAAAACAAGGGACTGCAGGTAATAAAAGGTCATTGTGAATCATTAGTGTACTTGGCTTTCATATGGAAGTTAATTTTAATTAAACATGATCTCTATCTGTAAATGTTTTATAAAACTTATTGTGCATAATGGATTGTTAATTTACACTAACATTTAGCAGGTAATAGGACCTTCTAATTATTAGAATGCATTGTAGAAAAATGGCTATCAAGAATGCAAATATTTGGRGGATAAAATTTACACCAGCCACTGCAAGGTGCTAACAATTACAAGTGTGATTGAGATAAGGCTGCCTGTGTATTATTAAGAACCGAGTTTTACTGACTGGTAATGAATACACAAGGAAAGCAGATTACAAAAATTCCCACAACCAACTCAGAATTTTGGGTCTGTGCTACCTCCTTCACCTGGCTAGCAAGACTTGTTTCTCTTATCAGGATATAAAACTATTCTGATGAAGTGTCCCTTCTAAGCAAAGAGCTGAGGATRTTTTACAATATAGCTGGAGGAAAATAGAAAACGAAAGGAAATGCTGGCAGAAAAAGGCATATATACTTTCTCTTTTGCTCTCAGATCTCAACTCTGGCTGGAATAATTGACAAATGACTCTCATCTGCAGATTTAAAGTACTAAAGCAGATCATGACAATCAATAATGCATGTTACAATGCAAATGCAGATAAGCACATCCGGGTTTCTGCCTCACACTTAGGCCATGTCTGTATACGTGGAATGAATGTACTGTGACATGGCCAGGCTGTTAATTTGGGTCATCTTAATGATCGGTGCAGGCTGGCATGCCATCTGATTAGCCATGGTGATCACCRGATAGCAGTGATGGCTGGAGTGAAATGAACAGCCAGGCCTTGCTGCAGTCACTGGGGCTGAACACTTAGGCGGTCTTAAAGAGATGGTGGACGGGAAAGGGGAAAGGAAGGGTGGATATGAATACACTGTGTTCCAGGAGGTGTGTTGAAATGGAGTGAGGCTCAAGATGTGTGTGTATCTGTGTGCACGAGTGTCTTGATATAACCTCTTCCAGGCAGATGAGGAGGTTAAAAAGAAATTGTGATAACTGATCATATAATTTAAAGCAAAATCACAATTTCTTGGCTCAACAATTGTGTATTTGAATAAAGTTAAAAGTAAGTCTGAGCTGGTATGATGTTCTACCTTCCTGTGTGTTGCAGACACAAATTTGGGTTTACTGCTAAAATACATAAATGTAAATTCAACATTCATATATTCAACAAATATTTATTAAGTTCTTACTCTGCTCAGAGCACTGAGCCACTGTTGCTGGTGAGGAGAGGGACAGCAATATGACCWTCATGCACATAGCATATAGGGAAGAGTACTCTTGAGATTTTACTTAAGACACTATAAAATTTCCTTTTAAATTCATTTAAATTAATAGATGAAACTTGTATTTATTTATGGCATACAATGTGATGTTTAAAAATATGTATGCAATGGGGAGTGGCTAAACTGACCTAATTAACATATGTATTACCTCCTATACTTATCACTTATTTGTGATGAGAACACTTAAACTCTATTCTCTTGGCAACTTGATATAGTGCAATTTCTGATTGTATAACTCCAGTGATGACATCCTGAAAGCCCATTTTTAGTGAAAAGTTATGCTTCACATTGAAGTGAAATTTTCTTCCCTTTAATTTGCCTTTCCCTTCATACCTTTATAAAACATAGGTAGAAAAGTCCTAATTCCTCTTCCACATAACAACCCTTTAAAAATGTGTAAAGACAACTCTCATGCCATTTTCTAATTGTGTAAAGTCAACTATCATGCCGTTCTCTAATTGTGTGTCAGAGATGATATGATAGTCAGTCTTTTGATGCGCTGGATGAATTCAATTAGCCAATGTGCCTCTTAAGATGTGGCAGAACTGGATGTACTATTTTAGTTGAAAAAGTAGAGAGGAATTCTTCTGTGCCCTAAACACCAAACGTTTACTGAAATTTCATGGGAGTAGAAGAGGAACAGATTTTGAAATAATATCTTCCTTCACGGGCTTGTTTTAAGCTTTCTGATATCCCAAGTTATCTGAAGTCCTGGCTGCCCATTAGAGTCACCTGGGATTGTTTAAAATAAATACTCCATCCCTGCCGATGGATTCAGAACCACTGCATTAACTAAAACCTTGAAATTACTGGTTTTGAAAGTTGGCTGTGCGTTTGAATCATATCAGGATTTTATAAGGCCATCAGCCCTCACCCCAAAACAATGAAATTTCTGGGGGCASGACCAGGACAACTAATTTTTAAAGAAGATGATTCCAATGATCAATCAAGGACGAGAATCATGGCTTTGCACTGGTTTCTTCAAAGCCATACATTTCCTTATCACGTTCTCTTGCAATTTCATTTTAGATCTACATACAACAATCTGCTACTTTAATTCTTATTAAAATTCCCCTCAAATTCTTTCAGCTTCTGTTCCCATCATTCACTATCTTATAGAATCTTTTTAGCTTTGTGCTACAATGAAAAATTGATAAAGATCCAAATCGGTGTATTTTTTTTTTTTTTTTTTTTGCTAATGCTTCTTTGTATTACCTATAAAAATCTCACTGCCTACATTGTTAAGTTTCTGATGGCTTCCCTTCTCTCCAGTCTAGAGGATCCTGACTTAAAGTAGAATTTATACCCGGTCAATCTTCCTATCAAAAGAGATAATCTTCAGAAAATGTCACAATTGTCTAATTTAGGTAAACTTTTAATTTTTTAAGTATACAAGTATTTTATAATACTGAATGAGCCTTTTCAAAACAATAGTCATAATTGGGACAAGCATACCACACAAGTGTAAGATGCTAATAATAAAGGAAACTCTGGGGAGGTATATAGGAACTCCTTCTACTGTCTGACTTTTCGGTAAATTTAAAACCATTCTAAAATGAAAAGCTTATTTATATTAAACAATACCCAAAAGATTCTAATGGCAATCTCTAGCTCTGTCCTAACCCTCAAACCCTGCTGCATTTGAAAATGAGTAATACATATCTTGTAAAAAATAGAGCTCAAGATCTCTGGTCCATTTCTAGAGAAATTTTGTCTGAGGTTAACAGTGATTATGGTCAGGCAATGAAGTCAAGTAGACCTGGCATCAATTTCTGGATCTGCTCCTGTCTAGTTATATGATTGGGGTTCACTAGATAATATTGTTAAACTATACTACCCAATAGTTAAATAAAAATAGTAATATCTGAAAATAAAGTAAGCTAAATACATGAGTTACTTAATGTATAGTGAATTATTAATATTATCAGTCTAGGGATGAAAGAAATATCACCTATATTTTCTTATCCTGAAGCTAAAAATTCAAGTAACTCTATAACAATTTGGCCCACATTTCCTGATCATATACACGTGCATATCATGGCTGGCTTCATAGAGTCAAGATACAAAGGATTCCTCTCCCCTCTCAGTTGCAACAATAAAAAGGATTCCAAGGGCTCTGGGATCAGACAGATCTAAGGAGAAAAACGTGGTTATGGTCATGGTCAGAAAACCTAAGTGCAAATCCTTCCTCTCTCTTTTACCACCCCCCACTCCCTTAGGCAAGTTATTTAGACCCTGAGAATTTTCTCCTTTATTATAATAATGACAAAATAGCAGTGCCCATATTCACTCAGAGTATCTTGGTGAAGATCACATGAAATAGGTCTATAAAATTGCACTGAAATATTGAAATCATGTATACATYCACTATAATAATGTTTAATGATGATTATTATTTCTTATTAAAGGACCTTTACTTTTTCTAACTGATCTTTCATTTCTGGGTTCCTCCACCCTACTCACCCCAAATGCTCACAAGCAATGGGTTTAAATATCTTTAATAAAATTTTGATGGTGGAATCAGCTCAGGCTCATAATCCTAGAATTATAATAATTTATGATCTCCTTAAAAAAAAAAGCCTGACAGGTTTAGCCTAGTTCTTGTTTTACAGCACCTTCTTTTATTCCAATATCCCTCAAAGAGACCACATTTGCAACTTTGCTCAATTTCAGGATATATAATCAAACAAAATCAGGTGACTACAATTTACCCGAGCTGTTGAGGAGTTATAATTCACTTTACCTTATATGTTAACCTAGAATTATTTTTGCTCTTTTTCCAGATGATGCATAGAAAAAAAATCCCTGTGGGGTAAGGCAGACCTGAATACAATGTCGGTTTGGTTCACAAGTAATTGAAAAGGAAGAAAACAATATCAACTCTGGAGGGATGTCATAGAGGTTAAATATCATTTTGGTGATAACAATAGGTAACATTTATTGAATCTATACTGTGTTTGATTCAACTGTTATTTATATCCAATTTTCAGGTAAACTGTGAGATTATTTGAAATTATCAAGATTATTTGCTATCAATTTATCAAAATTTCAATTGTGAGATCTTTGCTTTCCTTGTGTTAATATTTTTCTTATCTTTACCTTTCAGAATCATGTTTTATCCTTTTCTTTTCCTGTATTTGAAACCTGGAGTTCTAAATACTTATACCCAGACTTTTCCTAATGAAAAACATTTAAAAAATTCTTACTTTCCTCACAGAGTTTTTCAACATCCATTCTTTCAGCATCTTTTCCTATTGAGATCTTGACACCAAGTAATAGTGATCTGAAACTTGTTGCATTTATTAAGTTAGTTTACATTTTATTTAAACTTGTAGAATTTTTTACTAAACATTGGTAAATAAGAATTTTTAGTGAGGTCATGATAAGTGAGTATCCTTCATTTGATAAGATGGATAAATATAAAACAATATACTGTCATGTTTTCTTTGTCTAAAAGAAAAGAGTAGAATGGTTTTGAAAAGTGATTCTCAAGAGCATTGGAAAGAGCTGGGCATGGTGGTACAGGCCTGTAATCTCAGTGGCTTCTGAGGCTAAGGAGGGAGGATCACAAGATCAAAGTCAGCTTCAGCAACTTAGCAAGGCCCTAAGCAACTTAGAGAGACCCTGTTTCCAAAAATAAATAAATAAATAAATACATACATACATACATACATACATACATACATACATACATACATAAAAATGGCTGGGGATGTGCCCCTGGGTTCAGACCCTGGTACCAAAAAATGCATTGGAAAGAAAGCACTGATGTATCACACAGTTCATGCTCCTTTGATAAAGAGTAATACTGTGATCAACCTATGACTAAATGTAGGGTCATCTGTTGTTTAACTGATTCATTAAAAATCTATTTCAATCTCATTAACCTTATATTTGTGAGTAAACTCTTTTCTAGGTGATAATGCACTCCAATGTTTCAAAGTCTCATAATAAATGACACTGGTCTTTGCTGGTGACCAAGTTCACAATGAGCTTTGTAGCTGCTGAAGACATAACCTTTGAACAGGTAGATCTCAACTCACTTGGAACTTTCGTTGTCATTCACTGAGTGATGGTAGGGGAGCTATATATTTATGAGGGCTCCAAGTACAAAAGAGTCCAGGTCCATCTATTGAGTTAAAGGAACCCAAGTTACAACAGTAGAACTTGCAGTTTCTTCTGATCAAATAAATTCAAACATTTCTGTTTTGATACTATGGTTTAAAAATATCTTTTTGTTTCAATGACAAGGAATTGAGAACAAAAATAGAGTTGATGAGTTTCGACTGAATTTTTAAGAATTATTATTAGTACAGAAGAAAGATACACATTCCCTGAAGTTTATTTGCATGACTTCCCTATATGTATCATCTTATTCATATGATGCTATGGAAATTACTTGAACATACAGCCAATGCAATCTTAAAATKTTCAAGAAACCATAAATCTTCTACCCAGAAATACAAATACAATGTATCCAAACAGAGATAACYACCCAGAATTTTACAAAAATGTTGTGCATTTCTGGCCAGTTTGCTTTCTGCCACTGCCTCTGACGGATCTCAGCCTGACCAGTGGGAAAAATTTCTACAACACTTGGGCCATTATTCTCAATGCCAATTGGTGGTCAACTATGATCAAGACTGGGAGGGCCTTTGTTCTCAGAAGTTACCCTCAAAGAACCTGGACGAATTTAAAAGATAAAAAGTTGAGACCCATATATGCTAAAATACTGGCCTACATGGTCAAAGGAGTGAAGTGATACAGATATATAAATACTTAATTCTGCATTTGTCCAAAGGGACTTGGAATATTGTGACCTAAAAGAATATCAGAGAATGAAATGCTAATATGGAGGAAACAGAATAACTCATTGATAAGGAGTTTAACTTTGAGAGTGTAAGTTCACTACCTAATGATAATGAAGAGTTCTTCCCCAAACCTGTAAAGGTGAATGTGATCTTGGTGAATGTGATCTTGCTGTGATCTAGAGCTCATATTACAGATGTATAGGTTGGGCTGAGGATATAGCTTTGTTGGTAGAGTGTTTGCTTTCAATGCACAAGGCACTGGGTTCAATCCCCAGCATGACAAACAACAACAACAACAACAACAATAACAAAAACTAGATGTATAGTCCATGTAGAAAACAAAAAGAACTTTGACTTATGGACCCCAACTGTGTTTGAAATGGGTATTCTGTACATCTCATGAATTAGCAAATATTTTACAAAATAACAGTGTTTGACATGGGGCAGTTTGTAATTGTTTTTTTCTTCTTCTTTCCCTCCCTTCCTTCATTTTGTCCTCCCTGATTTTTTTTTTTAAAGTATGTTTTAATCATGAACCTATAGTAGAAAGGACATTTAGTACATTTTTGAGAACTACACACTTCTAGCTGTTTAAAATGTCCTAACCTGCGCCTGAAAATGCAGACACACTATTTTAAGGAAGAATAAATATGTTTTGTACACAAGTTGTCCCTCTGAAATACTTTCTTTTTCAATCTCCAAATCCTTTTCTTGTCAAGATAGTGCAGCAGTGTTTGGAAAGAATTAGCACACCAACAGATGCTTAGAACCAAATGACTTAATAGGCATAAACTTTTTTTTTCCAAATAATTGCAAAGCTTTGGTTTAGCCTTTTGCATACCTTGCATAGTTAATTACCTAGGCCTTAATGTTTACATGCAATGAGAGTATCTACAGCCATAAACTACATAATTTATAATTGATGTAAATGGGTGTTATTATGTCAATTAGGCAGCTGTGTCCTCCACCTCTTGGTAAACAGCTATGAGTGATAAACTGAGTTTGCAGAGAGRTACCTCTTTTCTTCATAACAGATAAAAATAAATTACCTAGGCAGACCAGGCTGTCCAACTGGTCTCTGGTGAGGTGGATAGAAAATCCAGATCCTTTCTTTTGACCTGTTGACTGCAGCAAACAGTCGATTTCGTCACGCAGTGCTTCCACAGCTTCTGGGTGCCGGAGAAGATAATACATTGCCCAGAACATGGCTGGAATCGTGTTTGTCACAGAGGCCCAGAGAAAGCCAAAATGATGTGCTGGGAGAAAATAAGTGAAAAGGAAGATTAATAGCGTTTATTACACTGATTAGATTTGCAGTGTGCTAATTAAAAGATGTTAGGACACAGACCCAGCCAAGGATCAGTGCATGCTAATGAGAACCAATAGGCTTCTGAAGTCTAATTTTCTGCTTAATGAGAATAGTTTAAAATGTAATGTGTGTGTGGTGGGGGGACAGGAAGGTGGGGGATGAGATAAAAGGAATAAATGCAGCTTAGTTATACTCTTTCTCATTATCATCATTAAGTATCTTGTTTTACCACCTCAGCAAAAAAAAAAAAAATCAATTATCACAGAGGGTTGTTTCAGAGTAAAACATTTTATCATTAGCCAATTAGAAAGAGCATAAAWAATTTCAAGGTCGCCATTTTGTCTTTTTATTTCAAAGGTCTACTGTAAATTATTTTACTTTAGGTAAGTAATCATTCAGAAGTTTCTTACCTCCTATTTCAAGGTCCTGAACCAAATATTGCTCCAGGATTTCTTGTCTCCTTTGCACAATTTCTGACTTTTCTTGTGTCTTTGCTAAGTTTTCTGATGTTAGGGAATTTATCAGTTTCTTCTGCAGAGCCTTGACATTTCCTAGAAGCTCAATGGGTATGTCAGAAATTAAGTATGTGAACTTGTCATCATATTTAAAAAGATTATCTTTCAGCTCACTGATAATCTTTTCCTTGTCTCCAGCAGGAATTTTTCCATATATGGCTGTAAACGTGACCTCAAATATTATTGAGCGGCAGAAGGTTAACATTTGTGCTGTGTTCCAATTTGTGGTTTTTAATAGTTCAGGCTCAAACATTTGTTTTAGATCTTGCAACATGTTTTCCAAGAGTATGTCCAAAGATCTGCCTTGCAAAAGTTGATAGGCAACGTGAAGGTCATGAGCTAGATCTTCATTTCTCATGGACGTCTTGATGGAGAATGCTTTCTCTGAAAGTTTTCTAGAAAATACATCAAAGCTTAATTGTTTGTGGTTTTTCATTACCAATGGGTACTGGAAAGGGTCCAAAATAAATGTTATGTAGTTCCCTAAAAAAAAGAAAAAAGAAAGAAAGGAAAAGGAGGAGGTGGTGGAAGAGGAGAAGAAATTAAGTTTATTTAGTGGCAAAACAAAAATATATACCTTAAGTTTGAAAATATTTTAATCAAAAATAGATTCTTCGAGTTAAGACAAAAAAAAACTTGATAAGAATCCATTTTATTCAAAGGTCTACTGCATGAAATGTAAGATGGTATTTAAAAAAAAAAACTCTAAAAGCTTGACGTTAAATATCCTAAATTCTTAGTGATCTTTTACATAATAATAGTACATAYTTCCAAATTTATTATTTATTTATTTATTCATTGGTATTGGAAATTGAGCCCAGTGCTGCTCTACCACTAAGCTGCATCTCCAGCTCTCTTTATTTTGAGACAGGATCTCACTAAATCACCTGGCTAGTCTTGAACTTGTGATCCTCCTGTCTCAGTCTCCCACATATCTGGGATTATAGGCATGCATCACCACACAGGCTTACTTCCAACTTTTAACTCAAGTATCCAAACATTTTAAATATCCTTTAATCCCTATTCACATAATCCCTTGATGTAAACACTAATCATTTACTCCCAATAAAACAAACGATACAACAAATTGGTTAGATGCCATTCAATTACTGATTATTTAACTTGCTACAGAGCTTTTTCATGCTTGATGTTATCTTAGTTTGATCAGATACAATAATTATACTTAACAATTAATACTCAATAATCAATTATTAATTCAAATAAATGAAAATACCACATGCAGTGGTCACTCAAAAATTAACATCTAAGATTTTGGAACATGTTCAAGGTCACATATTGAATTGTGATAAGCACTATATCACAGACCAGAATCCATCCACTCATGCACAACATTTATTGAGACCCAGACATTTGGTTGTATTCTTTTCCTCTTGAGATCTAAAGATATAAAGAAAGCATTGTGTTGTGATGGATAGTAATATAGCAGAGGTGTAAACACAGTGGAAGGGGAGCAGGAAGTGGAATTTGTTCCAGTTTGCTTCCTGTTTTCAGCAAGGGTTTCTTGAGGGAATGATATTTATCTTTTCTACACATCAGTGTTGCCAAAATTTATCTGATTAAAAAACTAGGGGTGATTATTGATAATACCAACTCCTGTAAGATTTCGATTCAGAATGCTCGGAAGTGAGGCTTACAAGACAAGGTATGTATGACAAGGTCTTCAAGGGATTCTTATAAGGAGGTACCCTTGAGGAACAGTTTTGTCACAGTCTGTTCCTCAAAACTGGCAAGGACCTTGGAGAGTTCCTAATTCAACCCCTACAGTGATCAGTTGAGCAAGCTTAGGAAGGACAAAAGAGGTAGAGTCAAGGTCATGCTGCCATTTTTAGTGGCTGCCATTTTTAGTTGCCRAGCCTGGAAGAGAAATTCTGCTCTATGAACTATGCTTTTCTTCCTGCARTGCTAGTCTCTTTTCACTAGAGTGCTGTTTTTTTTTTTTTAATATTTATTTTTTGTTGTTGTAGTTGAACACAATATCTTTATTTTATTTATTTATGTTTATGTGGTGCTGAGGATCGAACCCAGGGCCTCGCATGTGCAAGGCCAGTGCTCTACCGCTGAACCACAATCCCAGCCCTAGAGTACTGTTTTAATATCCCTTCCAATTAGAAATACTGTACAGATAGTATTTAATAGTGACATGTGAGAAAGCCTTTTCTATCTATACAAAAAAGAAAAATTTTAATTTCTAATTATTTATTGTCTTCATTACCACCCCACCCCATTTTCTTAGACGAAGAACTTCTCACTTATTATTTATGGAAACTCAAATGGCATTACAGAAATTMAATTCAATTTGACACAAGATATTTAGGATAAAGTGTTGGGATAATTTTCAACCAAATCCTGGAAACAGGATAAATGTGTTCTTGTTCTTCAATTTTATAGTTTAAGTTTTTAATATACATGAAAACACATGCGTTCTGATTTATTTCTTTAAAAATTAGTCATATGACTTGAATTTTGTTTACTTCATTTCCCCTTGATTCATTTAATAAAGTAAGCCAAATCAGGAATGAGGGTAAAGCTGGAAGTGGCTACTCGTTCTCATAAGATATCAAAGCTGCTGCCTTACACAAAGTGAATTTTCCAACCTCCCTGGGGAGACCAAAAAGGACTCAACTGGATTTGGGCATACTTTATGACACCTGCTTTACTATGGAAGCTTAATTAAATAAAATTGCCAGCATCTGCCTGACAAATAATTTCTTTTTAAAAAGTCAATTCTTTTAATTTTGCAAAAAAATCATAATTTTAGGCACAAAAGTATATTTTCACAGGTGGTAATTCATACTTTTCTGTTTTTATTAAGTGAAAGAATTTTGCTCAATACTGATAGGATTATTTAAAATTATTCCCTAAAATTCAGAGTATATAAAAGGTTTAATTTGTAAAACACACAAATTTTAGGGATTATTTTGAAATTTTTCCTACCAAATTTCTACATTCATCTAACTCTAAGTGGAAAGACAAAAATATAATCAGATTGTACAATTGATACACACACACACACACACACACACACATATATCCTCATAAGGTAGAGGATGTATGTATGTTTTTGTTGTCTACAATTCATGAGAAACAGACACATTCTTTCTCTGCCCCTTCTCCCCCATGGGAAGAAAATATGAGGCTCATTTCAAATAAAAGAGATAAATGTTGCCTGTGGAAAAATTGATTCAGTTTAGCAACCAATTATTAATGTATTTTTAAAAAAGCAATTGTTCATATTAGGATCTTTTGAAAAACCATTACTGACTAGTTTAAATCAATGTGCAGATGAAATTCTCAATTCTCATCTTCTCAAGGCTCTTTTCACCCTAGGATCTGCATTTTCCTCTTTCTCATTCTAATTTTAATTTTCTTCAACATCAAGGCCCTGCATTTTCACCTTCTATCTTTCTGATTGAGATGAAGATTGCTTTAGAAGTAGATGTTTTGATTTTCTGGATTTTTACTTTTCAAGTGGGTTTGGAAGCACTAATAACCCTGGAGATGGTAACTGGCTTTCCAACTTTTAATCTTCAGTATAAACAATTTAAGCTAAGTTTTCCAAAATTAATATTAATTTAAACCATCTGTCCACCATCTGCTAATGTGAGATGCAAAAACCAGAGTTTCTTTGTGATCTTTAATCAGACAGTTAGGAAAACACATATACATTCATAAAATGAATTTAAATTTCCTAACAAAGGAAATCTTCTGAAAGTTATTTTGAAGGCTATGTATTCTCGGAGCAAAATTAACTTCTGCTCCAGTGTGATTTTATGTAAATGAATGCCAAGTGTCAACAGGCATGTTGCCTAGTTCACAGAGATCATAAGGTAGAGGAATATCCTTTGCCATGTTTTCAAAAGAGAAGAGAATGCTGTCAGCAGTTGATATGAAATATTGATTTAAAGAATTTCAGAGTTTGTCTGAAATATAAGTGTCCAAATGGGGCCCATGTCCATCCAAATACAATATTAAATCATTCTTCTGAAAATTAAATTTGAAAGGGCAGATTTTGGACATCTTCCTTGCCCATTATTTCATTCTTGTCCCTTTCACGGAGCTGATGGGGCCGTTTTAGATATTAATTCTAGCATTCCTATATAACCCGTACATGATCCCTTCGCTAACTCAACAGTCTTTTCTCTTCCTTCAGGACTAGTCCTCTAGGAGGGGTAAAGCTGCAAGATTCAAAGAACGTCGATAAAACTATTTTAAAACATCTAGCTATTCACCCTAATATATTATATATAGGAAGTTTGACATCTGGATCATTATAAATTAAATTTTGATGTTTTCATGTCTGATATTGGGTGCTGTATAGATACATAGCCATGGGAATTCAAAGCAACTATTTGGCTGCTTGGGATAGAAATGCCCAGTAAATAAATATGAGATAAAGTTTCATTTTAAAGAAATTTTCCACAATTATAAACTTTTAATCTCTGTGTTGAGCCAGTTCTTTAATAAATTTTTTAAATTTTAAAACGGAAAGTATTTGTTGGAAGAATGGAATATGAGTCAACTTTTTATTTTATGAGGATAATCACCTTTGCATCCTCTCCCTCTTATTAGGGAGATTTCACTAGCTGTTGACAATGATGTGCAGTGGAACTTCGCTGGGGTGACATCTAGGGAAAATGATTCCGCTGCACCACCACACAAAATCAATTAGAGAACTATTTTCTGCGACAGGTCACGAATTTACGTGGTTTCTCATAAAAAGATGTACCTTTTAATTTCTTTATTAAGATGACATCCATGTCCCTTGAGACTTTTGGGGATGACAATCATTTGCTCATGCTGCAAGAATGTACACTCATGGAAATCACATTATGGGACAAGGGTGGAAGACTTTGTTCTTCATTTTCTAAATGAGCTACCTGGCAAACTGATCATTGAAATCATGCACATTAACAGGATTTCTTGACAGGAACGTATTCAGATTCTACTAAGAGCAAAAGGAAAGCAGTGGTGGTACCTATTCAATTGTGGTTGTCTATTATTGAGTTCAAAAATATAACCATGCTTAAATTATTTAGACACTAGAAATTCAGCAAGCTTCTCAGAATTTAAGATTAAGATAGCAAGTGTCAACAGAAATTGGTTGTTTTTTGAAAAGTGAATAAAGTTATTCAAATCTGCCACAAGTTTCTGCTGAATCATCTTAGTTAACATTTATATCATGTCCTTACAAAAGGAAAGATGAAGTTTTCAGTAATTTTTTGTATCTACTCACTGGGAACATGAACTTACCTTTGTAAAAGTAACAGTAACATTTTTTTAAAAAGTGAAGGATACAATTTTTGGCATCACGAAGTCAAAAATTTACTTACAAATAAAGAAAAAAAAAGCACCAGCTATGTCTTAGGGTTTATATCATTGCATTTCATCAGCTCTAAGGTATTAGGAATTTTCCCCATCGAATATTTATTGTGACTCAATCAGCACTGAGCTCTGGACTAAATGTTGGTAATAGAGGACCTAACAAGTCCTCTATAACGAAGGGAGACAGACGAGCGAATCAGCAATAAATTCAGAATGTGTTACATGCTCTGACAGCAGTAATTCCAGGAGTAATTGGACCCTGAAGAAGAGACACCAAGGGTGAGATGGCCACAAAAGGATTGGAGGAGGAAGTACCATGAGACTAAGGCCTCAAAAGATGAGTCTGTGTCAATCAGGTGACAACAGAATTCTAGCAGAAGGAGTAGCAAGGGAAGACACAGAAGCCCAAAGGCCACAGTATGTGAGGAAGAAAATCCCAACAAGATGGTATATTAATGGTATATTAAGTACAAGGCAAGCAGTACAAAGGACAGGATTGGAGAAACAGGTGGAGATTGGACCTAAGGGATCCTTGTGAAGATTAAGTTATATATCACAAGTCCTCTTTTTCTACGATGCATGATTTTTTTTTAATTGATATAGTTCGTGTGCATCTTTATTTAGTATTTTTTATGTGGTGCGGGGGATTGAACCCAGTGTGTCACCTCACACGTGCTAAGCAAGCTCTCTACCACTGAGCTACAACCCCAGTCTGCATGGATTTTTTTTTTTCCATTGCCATTCTTTCTGAAATTTGAGTCTATGTGATTATTGATGGAAGAAACCTGCTAGCTGCCAAGCAAAATAATAAGCTGTGATAACACTCAGACCTCCTGTTCATGGGAAAACTCAACCATATTGATGAGGTTATCTAGTTGAACCCTGAACCATATTGATGAGGTTATCTAATTGAACCCTGTTTGGATTGGATATAAAGTGTCCCCCAAAGCTCCTATGCTAATGTAAGGATAGTCAATGGTTAATTGATTAGATTATGAGAACTGAAACCTAATCATTTACTTAATCCATTGGGTGAATTAATACTTTGAATGAACTAACTAGGTGGGACCTGGCTCAAGAAGTAGGTAACTGGGGGCATTCCTTTTGGGTTTTATGTTTTGGTACCTCACTCTACTTCCTGGCTACCATGAGCTGAGCAGCTTTCCTCCACTACACCCTTGCACCATGAAGTTTAGCCTCACCTCAGGCCCAGAGCAATGGAGTTGCTGCCCATGGACTGATCCTCTGAAACCATGAGCAAAAATAAACTTTTCCTCCTCTAAGCTATTTGTATCAGGTATTCCCATTTCAGTGAAAAAAGCTAAGATCCTTCCTTCCTTCCTTCCTTCCTTCCTTCCTTCCTTCCTTCCTTCCTTCCTTTTCTTTCTTTCTTTCCTTCCTTCCTTTTTTTCTTTTCTAAATATTATGTTAAAATGGAAGAATTGGAATGAAGTCACTGTATGTATAAAAAGTCACCTCTGATACTCAGCAAAGTAATTATACGAAGAAGACATTACTGGCTCTCTAGGAAKGGAACATAAAATTTCAAAGCTGGTTAGAGGAAGATGTAAGGGATGGAGCTAAGGAGGAGGTCTGTATAGAAATGGTATAGATAAGGGCTATTCAGAATCCATGGAGGAACCAGAGGGCCAGTGTTGAGGAAGCCCATTAGCAATAGAATGTTTCAGGAAGGAAAAGAGATCAGTGATGTCAATGCAAGTAGAGAGGTCTAGTGATGAGGGTCCACCAATCACCCCAGCACAGCAGAATGTGGGTGGGTTAAGTTTAGGAGGGCTGAAGGAGGTAAGCAACTAGAAATAGCAAATGCAAAATATCTAGATGCAAAAGAGAAAAAAAAAATAGAATGGAAAGTAAGTAGAAGAAGAATATAAGAGAAGTTTAAGCATGGTTATAAGGATAAGGAACCCAAAGGAAAAAAAAAATGGAGATATGTGTGTGAAAGGAATGGATTACAATGCAGCAGTCCAGAGAAGGCAGGAAGAAAGGACCACAGGATAGGTAGGGATTGTCTTGAACATTCTCTGAAGTTGGGGAAAAGTGGTATGGAGAGTTCTGAAACAGCTACTTGTAATAGGTACATGGAGCTCTGAGGAAGATTATACTTGATATTATCAATTATCTAGTTAAGGAAAGGAAAGAGAGTAAACAGTTAAAAGCTGGGGGCCCCAAAATAGTCTCTTCTTGCCCTCTCTCTGATAATATTCAACTATTCAACCATAAGGTGGAAGGCAAAGGAATGTGAGTAAGTCAATCTGAAGAGATCAGTCTTTGGGATATAGATAGAAATTAAAATCAAAGAAATAGAATTGCTAGCCTGGGTGATAAACTGATGCTGAAGACCCTGCACAAAGATGGCCACAGTCATTCCCTTCTGTCTTTCCACAGRAGCTCCTAGGAACTGTGACTCTGTGGTTCCCCCAGGAGGAAGCAGAGTCTATTTCCCTGACCTTGAATTTGGGCTACTCTGATTTGTGCTAAGTTACAGAATGTGGTAGAAGTGACATGATACCCTAGACCTCATGATTCCCTGCAGCTTCTCGTCTTGCTCTCTTCAAATACTAACTGGGAGGTGAAGAAATTTCCCTGGGGATGAAATATCACATGAAGAAGGAAGCCCAGGCAGCATGAGAGGAGACCATCTTGGACCCTGCAGTCCCACCCAGCAGCCAGGTGACTCAGGCAAGACCAGTTGTTTTGAACCATAAAAATTTTGGAAAGATTTGTTAGGTAGCAATATTTGATCTCAAAAGAGGAGGGGCTAAGACCATTTCAAATTCTCTTTTCAACCCTATGATTTGGGGGTGTGTAGGAATCTTACTGTTTGTTTATTAAAGTAAATATTTTTATTAATGTTTGAAGAAGAATGAAAATGACAAATATAATCCAGACGACTCTTTGCTAGGAATCCAAGGGTGGAAGAATGAGTATGTGGAACACTGAGGATTTTTAGGACAGCAAAACCAAACTGGTAGATGCATGTCATTATGCATTTGTAAAAACCCAAAGAACAACACAGAAGAAGTTTSTAATGTGAAAAGTGAACCTTAAATAATGTACCAATATTAGCTAATCAGTTGCAATGAATGTTCACACTTATACAAGATGTTAATAACGGGGGAAAGTGCAAACAGGGGAGAAAGTGGGTATCTGGGAACTCTTTGAGTTATCTGCTAAATTTTTTCTGTAAACCTGAAACTGTTCCTCAAAATAAAGGCATTCATAAACAGTTACACTTAAGCTCTTTTTAAAAAAAAAAAAAAAAACAAAACCCTCTTAAATCTAAGCCAAAACCAAACAAAATGATGAATGAAGGCAGAAGAGTGGGTTTTCTCTAGGTACTAACAAGAGAGTCTGTAATTTGTTCTTTTAAGGCGATAAGAACATATTCAAAAACATGGTATTATTTTTCATTAGCTCTTCAATAAAACAATGTTATATGAATATTCCATATTTTGTGTGCAGAACCATATAAAGTCATTAAAGATAACATGAGAAATTAAGCCAAACTCAAGGTAATCATGGAAATGCTTTTTACCTCCAAGGAGAATAGTGAATATGTCACCATGTTGCTTTTGGAGAAATTTCATGTATCCTAAGGGATCTTTTTGTAAGTTGAAGGCCACTCCAAAATAAGGAAGCCAGCCTTTTATCAATGGAGGCTCACCAGGTCTCCTATAAATAGAAAAAAAAAAAAAAGAAAATTAAATCATTCTTATTTTAATACAATGGGTTACTTGTCCAGTCTAGAATTGTACTGCATAGATCACACATCTTCTTTCAACTCTCTTCTTCAATGATTCTTATATAATCATACATGCATTTATTGATCTCCCCCGSTACATGTGGCTCTGGGGTAGGCAGTTTAATTCACAACTTTTATTGAGCAAGTTTGAAAAATTTTGTCTTCAAGGCCTGAACGACTGCTTGACAAGTAAATCACAATCTGTTTTCTGTATTTCATATTAAAGTTCCCATAATTATAAGTAGGCACTTGTAGACTTAAAGAATCTGAGACCAAGAGGTTCTCTAGGAAACCCAATCAAATGTTTGATGTAATTTATTCTATAGGAATAAATTGTCAGTTTGGTATAAGGCTGAAAAACAAATGGTCAACTGCTTGCTTTTTGGTCTTTCATAAGTCATGCTATAAATGCTGTCTGATGAACTTAATAAGACCCAAACTTAGTTTTGATTCACATTTGTGATTTCCTACCCCATGCTTTCTGAGGACTAGGCCTAATTTAACATACGGTTAAACTGCTTGTTGGAAATCAAGTAAATAATACGTTTTGAATATTGATCTTTTTGTTTCACATTAGCACAACATGTTTATAAGTGTGACTCCTTCAAACTAAACACACCTCATTCTAAATCCTAACCTGTGCGTAGGCATTTAGGTCTTTCCACAAATATAGAATATAGTTGTTTTAACCAGAAGAAATTTTCAATTGTATTCTTATACATGATGGTTTAGGGGATGATGTGTTATAGGATTTGAAGTTTCTCAAACCACTTACATGCACTTAACACACTAAATATGGTGTGTTCTTTAGTAAGAACAAGTGATATTTAAGTACTTATTGTGAGATACTTCACTGATTTGATTGATCAAAAAGTTTTGAACTACATGGTACCGTGGGGGGATTTAGTGCTCCTTCTTCCCTCCCTCCCTTCCTTCCTTCCTTCCTTCCTCCCTCCCTCCCTCCTTCCCTCCCTCCCTTCCTTCCTTCCTTCCTTCCTCAAATAAGGGATTTCAATCTGAGAGGTCAACAAACTGGGCTGAAGTCATGAAGCTACTCAATAGCAGTGGGTGCACTGGGATGTAAGTCTTGAACCCCACCGCTACACTCTAGACCTCCAGGAACATTAGTCAGTTAACCTGTGAATCTGGCCAAAAAAAAAAAAAAAAAAAAAAATCTAAGCAGTTCCCTGCCTGAACTGACAGACACATTCAATAAATTGCACCGCCCCTTGAATCTGAGAGCTCTTGCTGTGCGCTGGGTGTGAGATGTGGGTATTTAGTTGCCAAAGTAGCACTCTTTGTCATCAGATGTCAATTAGATTGAAATTGCAGAATCAGAAGAGAGACACATAATAATCTTGAAAAGTATTTTGTGCTATAGAGAACAATGAAAACCTCAAAATCATTTCCATAACATATATATTTGACATATTCTTTTATGAAGCTTTTTAAATTGAAACTGCAAGTGAACACAATTGTTAAATTTCACTAATGTGCTTTTTTAATCATATGAAGTGTTCTTTAAAATAATATGAATTTAACTACAAGTTTCTTCTGTTTTTTGATCTATGATYCCAGCAAACCTGCACTTTGARATTTCTTTCTAGTCATTTATTTGGTGAACCAAATCTGATTGAAAGTAAAAACAAAACAAAACAAAAACAAACAAAAATGCTATTTTTTATCCTAGAAGGGATTAAAACAAATATTCAGAAGAACTCTGATTCTCTAGTCCATCTGTGAGATGACTTATGGTACATGCAACCCATTTTGATTAATCACAAGATATTACTAGCTCAGATCTCATCAAAGACCAAGATTATGATCATACTAGCATGGACTTTTATGGAGCTGGATTAACCCTATCAGAAGCTTTAATTTTCCCACAACCCAACATGGCAGAATTAAGCTTAAAAAAATAAATGTCAGCTGTTTCAGGGAGAAAAATTAAAATCTATCACAGTTGTGATAGAAATCAAGAAAAGATCCTGCTTTCTTCTTTTAAAAGCAATTTATCTCCATGATAATTTTAAAAAACATGCTGTTGAAATGTTTCAATACATGTCCTGAGAAGCAGGAAAATAAGAAACATTGCATAGAAATGTAGGTGTTATTCATCATAGTGTTTTTCCTATTATTTTCTCAAATATAGCCTTTAGCAATAAAGACTTGCTTTTTTGGAAAATATAAGAAAATAAAAAAAAACATTGTAAAATTTTATATTCAAAGATTATCTGATTGGACAGCAGAATCCACATGCTGGAAACTGTCATAGTCCATGTGCTAGCTGTTTCTGACCCTTTTGAATTTGTGAGTCATCTACTTCACAAAACTTCTTATCAAAGTATTAACTCTTTTCCTTGGTTTACTTTTACAGTGTTTGGTGGAAGTTTGCTTGAATGTTGCGTTGTGACTACAATTTAGAAAGGGCTTTTTTCATATTCTAATTTATTGCAACTAATGACATCTTCTATTCTGTCAGTCAGTCAAAAGCCTTATTCTTCATGGAGCTTTCGTAGTAGAAGAGCATGGGGCTCAGAAATTCAAGGGAATATTAATTTACAGAGTYAGGGAAGCACATTAGGAAGCCATTTTATTGTTGCAAAGATGAGAGGGTCATCATTTCTTACAGCTGTGTTTATTTTGGCAGCAGTAAGCTGAACACTATTAAATACCATGTCACTGCAATGCTTAGTTTCAGGAAAAAAATATATTGCTAGTTCAACTTATGACCCATTGAAGACAGATTGCAAAAATCTGTCCTCATCAGTATATTTGTAAAATTTGTATAGGGAGGGAAGACATCCCATAATGACCCAGAAAGGCTGTTGACACATGGCAAAGTGCAAATACTGCTATTTGTCTCCCTCATGCACTATAACTTTGAAAAGAGAACACTATCCACTACTGAGTGAGGATACAGCCTTAGTTCTTGTTGTGGATAATCAAATCTCAAAACTTTAAAGAAACAGGCTGTAAGGTAATGGTAGRTTAAAAAAAAAAAATCTACGGCCCATACCCTCTCTCAATCTCACTCAAACAAAACAGACTTCCTCAAATCTTCTGATTGTATTTAAGGAACTACAAGTGGTTAGACATCAAAGGCTACAATGACATAATCAAAGAAATTATGCAAATTAGAGCTTATCAATGTTCTCAACCCTAAATTCTACGAATTTACCATTGCATCAGGACTTGCAATTTCTTCYATGGACATGATAAGACACATCTATAAATTTATGCAAACTATCAAGTAAAGTTCAAATTTATCTGGGAGTAAAAATTGGAGAAGATCGTAAATACATAGAATGACTACAAAATACAAATGATGTTTAAGACATGTCCCTTTGGTTAAAAAGAAGGACATTAAAATGTAAAGGCGTGGACTTATGCTAAATACTTGGTTTCTCATGATATTTGAAATTTATCCTTATGCTACTTTTGTAGGTAAATACATAGGTTAAAAAACATGGCTAATGGCTATTGCATATTGTTCTTCTAGGCATTTTTAACTAGAAGCGACTGAACTACTCTCACTGAAAATATTCAGTATTTCCTTTCATCACCAAAATATGAGCTCAATGAGAAATTTCAGTTCAGTTACGGAGAAATAAAGTTACAGGAAACCATGGTTTGGGGTATCAAGGGGAAAAAGAAATAAGAAAGGAACTGGAAGGGCAGGGGACAAAATCATGCAGCTGATTCATGGCAAGCTGGGACTCTGAGAAGGACAGAGATGGTGCTAACAGGGAGTTCACAGGACTAGAAATCACCATTCTTCAACTCTTGACAAGTTGTTCACTGGCCTGAAAGCCACATGGTCTTTTCATCTCAAGTCACTCACTAAAAGTATGCTACACACAGAGCTTCTGTCAATGATAGTCAAAAATGTAGAGGAATTAAGGCAGTGTCTACCCGAGGGACTTTATTGGGTGGTTGGACAGGGCAAAGATCGTACATCCAAAAGGCAAAACAGAGAAGGCAGAGAATTCAACAGAACATGGAGCCAGAAAACAACAGCTCTTCATTCACTTTGTAAATAATCTTGTGGGGGTGGTGCACACCTGTAATCCAGTGACTGAGAGGTTGAGGCAAGAAGATAGCAAGTATGAGGCCAGACTCAGAAAAAAATTAAAATAATTAGGAATATAAACCAATTGTGGAGGACCCTTGGGTTCAATCCCAGTTCTGATAACTAATTAAACTAACTACAAAATAAACAAATAAATTAAAACAAAATCTTGTGGGTATGAGAGGGGACCTTGGTGTTCATACCCCACATGGGATAGAAATTTCAGATAGAATTATTTGGAGTATTTGTATATGTGAAAGTGGTTAGACATCAAAGGCTACAATGACAACAACATTTGGAGGACTTGGGAGCAATTTAAGAACTGTTCTCTGAGATGGATAAGAGTCTAGAATTTCAATCAAGACCTATCCTTTTACAAYTCTTTGAATTCAAAAGCCCCACTTCAGCACCTTGCAAATCACAGATTTTTAATACAGATGTTTTGTTTGAGAAAGAATATGCAAATTCAGATGTGTTCACAAAGTTTGGATTTTGATTATTCTCATTGGTCATTAATGAATTACTAACCAGTTAGCAAATATGTAAGGGAAAAGAAAAAAAAACACTGCCATAAAATCTCAACTTGGGGCTCACCCAAGTTTCTGGCCCTGCATGTAATAAGGTTGGAAGATATCACCTCCATTTTCAGAAGAATTAAACTAAACAAGCTCAAATTCAAGAACTCTTACATCATTAGGAGAATTGATGTCAGAGGTGAACTGTTGCCCTGAAAGCTAGATGGATACAGAGAATCACAGCTTACTGAGGACAGAAGCTGCTACTGGAGACATCAGCTGGTAGAAATCCTTGAAAGGTAACTGACAATTTCTGCACACAGAGCAAGGACTAACATGAGAG